TGAAAAGTTGGAAGAGTGAGGTTTGTGTATAAAATGCATGTCACAAAACTCTATCTACCTGCTATAGGTTGGCCTGCAGTTTGTCCCTCCTATTTCTAGCAGTCAACATGAAGAGGGGAACATAATCGGTTATAAGACTGATAGCATAAATACAGTGTGTATTATAAAAAAAAAAACCCAACAAGCAAAACACCACCAAAGCAGTGATGAAACACTCACTATTCTTTTCTCTTAAGGTTTTTTTTTTTTTTTGAGGAAGATTGGCCCTGGGCTAACATCTGTTGCCAATCTTCCTCCTTTTTTCCTTTTCTCTCCCCAAAGCCCCAGTAGGTAGTTGTATGTCATAGTTGTACATCCTTTTAGTTGCTCTATATGGGACACCGCCTCAGTGTGGCTTGATGAGCAGTGTGTAGGTCCGCACCCAGGATCGAAACCGGCAAACCCTGGGCCGCTGAAGCGGAGCACGTGAACTTAACCGCTATGCCACCGGGCTTGCCCCTCACTATTCTTGATATTAGCACCTGAGACATATTTCTCCTGTGGGATTTTATGAGTTAGCTAGTGAAAATATCCTTGACTTCCCTGAACCTTGGTTTCTTTGGCTGCACAATGGGTTTAATAGCAGTATTGGATTCGGGCAATTGTGAGAATTGCATGAGGTAACAGATATAAGAGACCTACCAGAACCTGGCACATTTCTAAGTATTCAATAAATGGTTGCTATCGTCTGTATGTACAGTAAACACAGCAACATGTTTCCTAAAGGAGCTATCTGATCTATCTTGCATATAGAGGTATAGAGGCATATGTTATTAACCACCTGTTAGTTGTCCACAGAATTTTTAGTTTGGCTGGTGTAAAACCTTTTTCTGGTTTGATGAATTTTAATCCTACAAAGTCCTAAATCATCCTTGGTAGCAAAGTGGATATCTATGAAAGCCTCTTTAACCTGAATGGCTACAGAGTTACTAAGCGTGAGAGTTCTCCGTTGGCCTGAAAACATAGTAGCAACTATCAATGCTGTTAGTTTAGAAACATGTTAGGAATTGGGAGAATTGGACATGATAGATTCACAGTACTTCTGCTTTCAACTGAGGTGGAGCAGGTGAGGATGGGAGGAAACAAGGATCACCTAGCGATAATTTCTGACATTCGGAGATAACCAGGAAAACCATGTTTTCCTCCCAGTAGTACTGGCTCTGGGCTGGATTGTGAAATATTCCCAAGACATTTAGAGTTTGTTGGGAACTCGCACCATCTGTCAGAGAAAGGCATGCAGGGTATTTATTTGAACACATGATACTGAGGCCACTGCCAGATCAAGGACTGAATGCCCTTTGACTCAAACCTAAATGAATACTGTCAAATGTGGATTCTAGTAGATTTACTTTATGAAATTTTGAGTAGCAAGAATGTAACCTTTATTTTAATAACATTTTAAACAATCGCCTTTTCCTTGTTCATTATTGCTATTTAAAAAAATTTTTGCTCCTTCTTTTTACATTATCTTTGGAAGCAGTTTTTACTGACATTTCTAGCAGAGAAGTTTTTTTGGAGCCTAAAACTCCCTTATAAGTTAGGCAGATAACTGTCCCTGGTTCTTTGAGCATCTTACTATTTCTTAGACTCTTGCTGGATTGGAAAGCTTGTCTATCAAGTTTCTTGTTTTCATTTTACATGTAAAATAATACTACACCCTCAACCCTTATGGCTTTCCTAAGAGCTTTCTGTCGTTTTGGGAGTTGTGATTTTAAAAATAGCCATCAATCTTCATGACATATCTCTGAGACAGGTAAAGATATTTTAATGAAAATAAATATTGAGATCCACCTATGATATTCTTATCAACAATAGCATATTTTCACCAGTAATGCTGCTTCTGTTGATCCTGAAGACAGGTATTCTGTGGGGGTGGTTAGAATGCTTCTACTCCAGCTCATTTTACTTTTGGCATTTTTGTTACTTAGCGTATACAGCTTGTGAAATATTTGGTCATCACCTTGAGAAAGCATGCCTTACCCCCACTCACCAAAGTGAGGCTGTCTTGCTCTCTTCCCATGGGCAAAGAAGCTGAAATGGAAAGAGGTTGAGAAGTGATTGATGGAATACAAGCCCTGTCCCTGAGCTCCTAAAGGTTTATTTAACCTTGGGACCATGTGCTTTTTCCTCTGTCTGAACACAAGACAGAAAAGGAAAATTTAGTTACCAGTAATGGATGAGAGAAGAAGGAGGATGCTTTGCGTTTTGAATTCCTCAGCTCAGTGCCATGATTTCCTCTGGTAGTTCTTGGAAGGTAATAGCTTTCTCATCCAAGGAGTATTCTATTTTACTGGGCTGTAAGGATCCCCACAAAAAGTTCATAGCCCTGTGGGTACCAGAGAATTATAACTTCCCAGAGGCTATCACTGAGAATACTAAGAAGATGTCTAAGAGTGGTTGTATGGGATGGGATAGGGAACAGAGAGTGACCACAAGTGGGCTTGAGGGATCTTTTTGGGTTGGTGGAAATGTTCTGAAATTAGGTTACAGTGATGGTTGTACAACTCTGTAAATATACTAAAAATCATTGAATTGTATCCTTAAGTGAATTTTATAGCACATGAATTCTACCTCAATAAAGCTGATCAAAAAATGCCTGAAATTTGGGAAGTCTTGAAAGGAACCACATTTCTGCTTGGTATCTGGGCTCCATAGTGCAGCATCATATCTGGAAGCTCCCCCACCTGTGGGACAGTGTGTGACAGAGTGAGCGAGGAGAAAGCATCTGAGGAGGAGCTGGAGGAGATGGGGATAAGCAGAATCTCACTCATAAGGCAGGTAGAAGGCCTGTGATCGCCATGTGAATAAAATGGCGCCGTTTTTGTGGTGATGACAACTCTCATTAGGTCCCCAAAGGGAAGGTACATTCCTCTCCGTGGGCTTTGAGAGGTCACTCTCCGAATCTCCCTCTTTTCATCAGGTTGACAACAACAACACTTTGTAGCCAGAAATCTTACCTTAAAATCCTATCAGCCCATACAAACCATCTTTTAAATGATTTATCAAATGTACTGTGCAGATTTGGGTAAAAATATATTAAAACATCTTTCTGTGTAACATCAATATGACTAATGTAGTTTAACTGCCATTTTTTTTGTTTAGTTGCCATTATTTAATATGATACAGAATATATTTAATGTGATAGGTTTAAAAATAATTTCCAACCTCTTAATTTTTTTCATGATGTTTTTCTAATTCCTGAACAAAGGCCACCAAGCTTTCAGTGTTTGATTTACTAAAGAAATTGATTGTCTTTGCTTACATATATTGTGTGACTTGAGATAAAGCTGCAGGACGCCCTCAATAACTGGAGTGCAGGAAACAATTGACACTGTTTCTTAATTCACATTGTTTCTTAGACGTTTCCTACTTCCTAGTATAATATAGCTTTCCCATGAGAACAATTTGCTTGCAAATGGTTAGACATGATAAATTTTTCATTGGCACACATTCTGTGAGGAGAATTTCACTGTATTTTGAGTAGTTGAGTTGGTGTGTGTATGTGTGTGTGTGTGTGTGTGTGTGTGTGTGTGTCTGTATGTATGTTGGGGAGGAGGTTCATGCTTTATATAGATGCCTCCAACTTCATTCCAAGTATCAGATGTTTTCTTTTGAATGCTAACCCATTCATTTAGGGTTCTGCATTCCTTGGTTGGAACTTCTTTCTTGAAGGAGCATGTGATTGTTTTAATCCTTCCAATTCAAGGGAACATCCTTGTGAATTATGGTGTTTTTTGATATGCCTGATGAATTACTCTGGAAAGTGACACAGCAATTTATGTCAGACATACTGCATGTACGTGTGTTGCATGCAGGTGTATGATATTGTCTGTGGCACCGTAAAGTGGTCATCAAGGAATAATTCCAGAATGGGAAAGGACACCTGTGGATGAGATTAGATTATAACCTAATCTAATTTGCAGTTCCAAAAAAGAAGTGTTCACATTACTTCCAAAATGGAGGTTCCCACATCCAGAAGTTATGCTGTATATAAAGTGAAAGTAAAAGTTTCCCAATTTAAAAAAAATGTAGAACTTTGAGTTCCTTTTTTTCTGTCTTATCAGATATTGTAAAAATAATACCACTTGTCAGTTTTGCAACTCCTTCCTTCTAGAGAACTAAAAGCATTTCACAATCTTTTTTTTCCTCATGCCCTTCTCTTCAAAGCAATTTTTGCTGGGCTGGGTTTATTTTTATCATTGCAACAACCAGTTTTTAGAAACTTTTGGAAACGAAAAAAGAAAAATGAGAATGACACTGGAGCTGACATTCATTTTAGCTGTTTCCTAGTGTGAACATTCGAGTATTTCTAAAATTTTCTCTCCAAGTATGTCTTATTTTTTCTTAGTTTGTCCCAGTTCTAAGTCTCTATTCTGCTGATTGGGTAAAAAAAAAAAAAAAGTTTTAATGTAAAACCTTATCCCCAGCAGAATGACTTCTTGAACTTTGAGTTAGATCTTTATTTTTTGCTGCTTCCAAGAGCTCCTGTTTCATCGCTGTGTTCAGTATAATCACAGACTCATGGAAGGTTAGAACTGGAAGGACCTCTAGGGATTACACAATTTCAGCCTCTCATTATATATAAATGATGAGATTGAGGCCCAGAATGGTTAAGGGACATGCTCAAGGTCAAATAGCTAATTGATGGCAGAGGTATGACCAGAATCAAGGATTCCTGATTTCTGGTTCGATATTCTTTGGTTTTCCTAAACAAAAGTGGTTTATCTGGATAGACTAGAATACACCCTCATGGAATCCTAGAGCCAACCAACAGGTTGAATTATACTCTAGTTAACTGAAAATTGAGAGGAGATTTTATTTTTCCAGTTTAACTTTGTCAAATATAGAATGGTAATGTTGCATTCACAGACATTTTCTTCTGACCTGTGTGGATCTTGTGCAATTTATTTGCAGCAGAGAATGTGATTTGAAATGACTGGTGATTTGTGTACTTCCTTTAGGCCACCACACCATCTATATTGGGGTCCATGTGCCGAAGAGCTACAGGAGAAGGAGACGTCACAAGAGAAAGACAGGGCACAAAGAAAAGAAGGAAAGGGAGAGAATCTCTGAGAACTACTCTGACAAGTCAGATGTGGAAAACGCTGATGAGTCCAGCAGCAGCGTCCTCAGACCCCTGAGTGAGTACCCTCTGGGTGTTGGTGCCTCTTTCTGCTTGCCTCCCACATCCTTGGGAAAGACACTTTTTAGGATCTTGTGGATAATGGGGGAGGGACACAATAATACTGGGATGGTTTTCTCTAAAGGATAATGTCTATGGAGATGCTTTTTTTGTCCTGGCAGGTTTGTCTAGGAGGAGATCTTGTAAGATTCCGAGTTAATCAGAAAAGATCTGACAAAGTTTAGGTGTGGTTGTGTATTCTACGTTTTAACTAGTGAAATAAGACAGGGTGTTATAAATGATATTTAACTACAGTAATCAACAGTAATTGGAAGACTCGAAGAAATGTTTGGGTTGTTCCTATTTAGAAACAGGTTCTATTGAGTCAGTAGGTCAAGATGAGAATTCTACATGTATAATTATATATAAATAGGTGACATTTATAGGGTCATGGGTGACATTTAATCAGGTCGTGGGCCAGGTCAATGATTTAAAAAGGAATAGTAGAAAAGCATCCTGTAAGTCAGAGAAGAATAGAGTAACACAGCTCTTGAAATGTTGAACATGTTAGTATCATACATTCTTATGTTATGATATGTTATTAAGAACAGAATAACAGGAGGTCAAAGAACACCCTTGGATTCAAGTTATAGGGTGGACTGTGTGTTTAGGTGTATGTGTATGTTGCTTTTGTTGCTTTTGATGTGGGGAATCTTTGGCTATCTGGGTAGCTTTTCGGCTGAAGTGAGAATGAATATGTGTGGTAGAAGGGAGAAGCAGTAGAAACACATGGCAATGATGGGAGGTTCCCTGACAGGAGTTACGTAGTGACAGCTTTTCATGTTGGCAGAGCTTTGTAAGTTCTTCATCTCTTTGCTACACTTGCAGAAATGCGGAACCTGCAATAAAATGCATTATGGACGGCACAGATAAAGATCCAGTTCACTCACTGCAGAAGATGAGAAGCCAAATTAGAATTAACAGCTCAGGAGTGTTGAAAAGTGAATTTACAGAGTTAAAGTAAAGAGGGTGTGAAGTGTAGTGATGTGAATCTGTGAATCTTTTATAGTGTCACAATTGAGCAGGTGGCTTAGAAGCTAGAGAAGTACTGTGCTGAGAGGAGCGATACAGATGGACCACCAAATTAAAGAGAAAAGGTTTGAGGAGAGTTTGGAGATGGACCACTAAATTAAAATTTAAAAGTGTTGGAATAAATGTAAGACAGACAGGACCAAAGGGCAGGAAGTAAGAGTTACATACTTTTCATTGGAATGTTGGGGGAAAGCCTTTCTGAATGGAATCCTTCGTATATTGACTAAAATAATGGGGTCTGTTTTGAGCAAAGTCCTTGAAATGCAGATAAAAAAGGTCACAGTTAATAGTCTGGAGGAGCAAAAGATAACATCCCTTTCCAAATAAATTACTACTGTTTATCTTGATTTGCTGTCTGTTTTGCTGTCTGGCAAGCCTGAGCCGGAATCAGAGGTGCTCCCCGCAGTGTGTGTGTGTGTGTGTGTGTGTGTGTGTATATGTGTGTGATCTCTCTCTCTCTCTGTCTCCCTCATAAGTCATCCCTCATTCTGCAATTTAAGAACAAGAGTGCATCATCACTATAAATACTAAAAAGGGAAGAGACTCTCACCTAGACAAATGGGCCAAGGGATTTTGAGATGATAATTATGTACCAGCTTTTTAGGAAGGGCAATGGAAACAATGCCAGTAATACTCAAGTAGGTAATAGGGAATGAACAGAGCAGAAAGGTACTAAGGCCGAATGTATGTCAACTACAGGAGTGCTGTTGCTTTCTGTGGCGTTTGGGGAGCAGTTTGGCACAGCATGTAAAATAAACAAAGCCGTCCATTCTCTTTACCCTCAGAGATCTCCTTCCTAGGGAGTACTGCTTTGTGTTATATATTCAGTTTCTGAAGGGATCGTATGGAAAGACCGTTGTTAAGGACTAAATTGTTGAATGATCATAACAAAATTATTTATAAATGCGCATTTTATAGTTAGTTGTTTTCCTGCTAGTCAATAAGTTATGCTGTAATATGCCTTTGACATGTTTGACGGGAGTCATCCAATTCGACCTGCAGGTTCTCTTAGAAATTACAGTATTTTCTCCACTGCTTATCATGGAGACTAGATGAGTTGGTAGCTGGTTTATCTGCTGCAGTTCTATTTAAAAGTCAGAATTGTTGCACCCAGATATAGACAGACATTTAACCCTATGATTTTGGGGACGCTACAGAGCTCTGGCACCAACATGACAATAAAATTCTTATGGGAAAACTCACTTACTGAAATATCTGCCTAGTCTGCCATTGTTGTCTCCAAGAAGAGCCACACGTAGTTTCTGTTATTCTTGGATGTAGAGTTTTTGAGTTACCTATGTATATAGACATACCATGTCCCCTAGACCAGATTCCTGCACGGGCCTGAGGTTGTATCAGGTGATGCTTATAACTTCTGAGAAAACCCCACATATAAATAGAGCAACTTGATGAGAATCATCTCGGATTCTTTCCTGCTGTCACCCCCATATGCAAGCCATCAATGACTTCTGTTGGTTCTACTTCTAAAATATGTCTGAATCTGTCTACTCTTTTTCAGTTTGGCTGCCACATTCTGGTCCAGGGAATCGTCGTCTCTTGCGTAGACAATTGCAACAGCCACTGCTTTTCAAGTCTTTTTCCGCACAGAGGCAACAGTGACCATCATAAAGTGTAAATTGGGTCATGCCATTCGTCTGCTGAAAACTTCTCGTTGTCCTTAGAATAAACTCTTGATTGGACACCATGGCCCACAGTATCTCACCAGTCCCGCTTTGTGTCATTCATTCCTTGCTCACTTTACTTCAGCCACACTGATTTTTCAGTTCCTTGGTGCTCAAACCTTTTCTGCCTCGGAGCCTTTGCACACGCAATCCTGTCTTTCTGGAACAGTCACCCCATTCTTGTCCTGGTTAGCTTTTCTCTCCCTTTGTTCCAGCTTTTAAATTTTGTCTCTTCTCAGAGGCCTTTCCCTGTTACCCTGTCTAATGTAGATTCTCCGATGTTATTCTTTCTCAGCTCTTTGTTTCCTTCATAACACATGTTTCAGCTTGTAATTTTGTGAGCCTACAGTTTTGTCTTGTGCTAATGCTAGATTGTAAGCTCCCTGAGAGCTAGGATCAGATTTGTGTTGTTCACTGTGTTATCTCTGGTACCTAGCACAGCACCTGGCACATAGTATGTGCTTAATAAGTGCTTATTGAAGAGTAATTGAATGGATGGATTACTCTAGAGGAAGACAAAAGCATTGCTTTTATTGGTCTAAATATTTCCCACATTATAAATAAAGATCCAGCTGATTTTCTTGTCTTTAATCCTTGCACATCATCTTTATATTTCTCTGCTCTGCCTTCTTCCCTTGCCATGTAAAATATGGTCCTAACTTTTAATTTTCCCACTTTGGAAAGTGCCTCATTATTTTAACTATTGCCAAAGTGGTGTTTTGGTCTGGGTAGGTGACCCCCGAGGGTGTTGAGTTGCCTGTCGCCCAGAGGTGATGGGAGAAATTGATCCCCAGGGCACAGAGATTCATCATGTACAGTTAAAAGTGCTCACCCTTCCACACAGACCTCAGGCAGCTCAGCTTCAGAAGCCATATTAAAGAGGCACGGAATTGCATAGTAAAGGGCATTTATAAGAAGGAATCAGCCAAATATCTTCCAGTATTTAGGCACATCAGGAAGATGACGTAATTACCAGGTTCATGTAGCTTATAACAGAGGTGCTTTTTCTTTTCTTCATGGCTCTGGTGTCAAGGCAGGGCTTCTAAAGAGTGAATGTGTGTTTTGATTCTTACACGTTTGGAGCTTCGAGGAGGAAGCTCGCTCCCTTCGTTTCCCCCTCTGAGCTCAGCAGCAGCTCCAAGTCCGTGCACAGCTGCTGTTTCCAGCATGGTGTCAAAGCTGGTGTCCCAGCTTGGGACACAGAGAAGGAAATACGTGTGGGAAGTGTGGTACCCTGAGCAATGGGGAGAGGGGCTAGGGATGAGAAGTGAAATGGAAGAGCTGGCAGGAGAGACAAGGGAATGAGGAGGTGGTGTGGCGGGGGTGGTGGAGAGAAAAGTTAGATTGTGCTCTTTCTTAAAAATAATCCTTTTGCCTCCTCCACCGTGCGCTTCTTTTTTTTTTCTAAGTTAGCAGCTGCCATCCTCTGAGGATTGCCCAGAAAGTGGGTGGGAAGGTGGTCCTGGATGAGATAGGCTCTGGAAACACAGCACAACTTCCCACCATAGATGGTTTTGACCTCTGAACTTCTCATTTTATTAGTATCCTGGGATATTTATGGGGAATCACAGGCCACTTGGTGACTGCAGAGACTCTGAAGATGTGTAAAATGTTAGGAGACAGAGCTACAAACAGAACATCCTGTTCAGCATATTGGTCTGATGTGTAATGTATTTCTCAACAATCTTGAACACGCATGAGGGCTTGGAAGTGCTAACTGCCTGGCACACACATGTCTTCCCTGTTTTGGAGTCATAACGCTAGGTATGTGCGTACAGACACTCATTCAGTCCGGTGGTATTCCTTTTTTAGCTCTTTGGATGTGTACCAGGACTGATGGATTTACGCTAGTGAGCATTGTTCTGTGAGCCTGGAACAATGGATGCCGGTTAGTGATCCAGTTATATGTGGGAAACTGAAACAGAGCAATGGGCAGCTGCCTTTGTGTGGTACTTCCGGGTAAATGAACAGACTAGCTTTTCATACGAGCCAAGATTATTTGGGGTTTTGTCATTTGACTTCCCCTTTTCCCAGTGCACACCCCTGTGCCCTCCCCCAACCTGACCTCATTCTTCTTGGTGCATGTCTACTTTTTCTTGATTTTTAAATCTTTTCAGGCAAGACCTTTAATTCTGGTATCATAAAGTAAGATTTCTTTAATTTTCCATATGCCATTTGCATAGCCCCCAAATGAGTTAGTATGCAGGAGAGAAGGGAATCTTCGGAATGTGTGTGAAATGAGGTA